CCCCAAAACCCCAAAACCCCAAAACCCCATAAGTAGAATTATATTAGAAATTTTGCAATTAAATCTAAATTGAAGATTTAATAATAATTACTAAATGCATAAATACTTAGGAACTGAGTCTGCAAAGAGACTTTCAACTATACAAAAAACTCAACCAAAAAGACTCTCTAATGTCAGTAGTGTCTAGTTTGTAACTCATACTCCTTAAGTAAACACTAAATATGTGAATCTGGTTGGCAATGAAACCAAGATGAAGGCAGGGAAAAATTTGAAATATGAAAATGAAAAAGCTCAGCAAGCTCATTCTGCTTAAAAGGAAAAAGATGATGATGTCATGAGACATATCAACACATCAGTCAGTAATCTTTTAGCATTTGAGGATCATGAGGAACACTCATAGACTGATATTAAACTCTAGCAGGAACTCCAACTGCCCAGATCTAATATCCTAATAAAAAAACCATTGAATTAATCTGAGTGCAATTCTCCTTATATTACAAGAGGTTAAAATGCTACTTAACTTGGAATTCCAGTCGCTCATACCTTGATAGCCTCCGAAAGTAAGAGTAATTTTCATGGACCTAGTCCTTTGACAATGTCAAACAGTAAAAATAGCAGTCCTTATCTGAGAGCCAATAAGCCTCTCTATAGAAATCAAAGTACATTCTAAATTCCTCTAAACTTACACTAAAGAGATACTCCTTAAAATCTAAAATACATAGATACCAAGGAATATGAGACTAATAATTCAAGTGCTAACATTGGAGAAGAAAAAACGTTGAAAGACGATTAAAAAGAAATTAAATCTATTCAATTAGCCTAATATGCAATCTAAGCTCTTAAAGACAAAGGAAAACATATAAATTTTGATACCAGAGATCAATTAGATATATCCAAAACTAGTTCAAGTAAAAAAACAAAGAAAACCATTTAGAAGAATAGATAAATGCCTAATAAACAAAATCCATCTTAATTTAGCATAAAAACAAATGCTATAAACAGCCCAAAGCGAGCTGCTAGACTAAAGAAAGGCAAGTCTGAAAGTAATCTTAAGAAACATGAAATCTCTAAAAATAGCTGCCCTTAGGCTTAACAAGTTGTGATTCAAAAAATGTAATAACTGGATTAGTCTAGTTTTATCACACCTTTTGATAGTGAGATTACCTCTCAAAATAATAATGTTAACATATCACAAATTCATATTGATCACGATTAGGAGTATCGTATAATGAAACCTAATAAGAGTCCTTTGCTAAAAAAAGCTTAGGAATCAAATATGTTCAATCAGTTTGAATTCGATGACGACCAACATGACTTTGATGTACTATTTGAACAGAAAAAGGAAAAAGGTCATCCACCACTATAATGATCGTATTCTCATTATCAAGTAAAAAATTGATTTTAATTTTTTAATAGGGGTTATAAAATTAGAATAGTAGTCGTAAGAGTTTAAGTTTTTTGCAGAAGGAAGATAAAATAGCATTGAAAGATCCAAAAACTACTGTAAAAGTAACTATAAAAGAATTAATAAATTTACAGATTCCTTAAAGAAGAAGTGAAGAGTAATATGATGTCAATGTCAATCACTTTACCTTGAATGATAAAATTTAGTAGCCTAGCGGTAGATAGTCTAAAAGGTCAAAGATAATTGAATTTGAAAAGAAGATTTTTGAGGCTGAGAGCAGATATGATCTAGAAAAAAGAAAGCATGATTAATTGCTTAAAGAAGTTCAGAAGCTTTTGATTGAGACTAGAGAGCTAGAGTATGGAGTGAATGCTCTTGATAGAGAGAATTTAGATTTCTTAGGCTATATGAATAGTATAATGCTAGCTAAAAGTAAGATTTACATATAATGAAATACTACAAAACTTTCAAAACTGAAATAACTTACAGCAACTCTACAGTGAATTTATTATATTTACTTCGCTTATCTTAATAGCTAATTTCTTAAATTACATAATCAACTCATCATCATGGGGTTTTGGGGTTTTGGGGTTTTGGGG